TTGGCTGGGTGAGGGTGTTCCTTCTTACGTAGAGAAGGAAGTGGAAGAACTGATGTGTATAAAGCAAAGTTACTTCTTCCTCTTTTAACCTGTGATCTTTATCCTGGTAGCTGCAATAAGCCATCGAGATAAAATTGCATGGTAGTGGACAGTCCTGACTCATTTTAAAATGGCTGTACCCTCATGTGGGTGTATCCCAGGACAAGTATTTTCTTTCAGTACATCTAGACTAGGAAAAAAAGTTGTGTTTTTAAAGATATTAGCTAATATCTTGACTACCACATTTTGAAATATTGCATAGATAGGACAAGTCAAATGCTAAAAGGTGTTAAAAAGTGTATGTTAAGTCATTCTAAAAATACAACTTTTATACCTGTCTAGACAATGACAGAATACTTTTTAAAATTACACGCCATACTCATGGGAAGTCCCACTGCAACAGCCAAGGAGAATTATAGCATAGGAAACAATCAATAAGACATTTCTCCACATAGATATTCAAAGTAATGGCACAGATTGACATGTGGGGAAACCCTGAAGGCCTTGTCTAGACAACAAGAGAAGAAGATCTTTTTTCAGTAGATTTAATTCACTCAGGCCCTCTTTCATCAAAAACAAAACTACTAAATGTCTACTAAGATCATCTTCTGTTCAGTTTTAGCAGATCATAGTCTGGGCTCCTGGCTGACTGTGACAGCCAGCTAAAATCATGTTAAAGGTATTGAGGCCTAAGTGTTTGTCAGATGGGAGTTTTAGTCCTTGAATAAGCTTGATTGAATTAGATCTCCTGAAAATAGCCTCTTCCCTGAGGCTGATAAGATGGCAGATCATTTTCCATGCCCATTCAATCTTTTAACCCAAACCATTTGCCTAAATTGTACCAAAAACCACAAAATTCAACCTGTCTTTAGTGTTAGTATTTCTAGATGAATGTGAGCACCGACTCATTTCCTACAGGCCACCAGACAGCAACTAGTTTTGACCTTGCCTTAGTTTTTACTGAAATGTACTCAGACAAAACCCTCGATCTAATCTACTCCTTTAAACAGCTACTTGAAAATGCCTAGTCCACATGCATGCACACATACCCACTGGAATAATAGTCTTCTTCTACAAAGCAGATAAAATTCTTAGTCATTAATACATATCCTTACACTGTTTTGCTTCTACCAAGCTGACTGGAGAGTGAGTAGATTAGAGTAACTGTTTCCCAGAATTGTACTAGCATCTTGGACATCTTAAACAATACTTTTGGGAAAAGAAAAAGAAAAAGAAAAGAAAAGAAAAGAAAAGAAAAGAAAAGAAAAGAAAAAGAAAAGAAAAGAAAAGAAAAGAAAAGAAAAGAAAAGAAAAGAAAAGAAAAGAAAAGAAAAGAAAAGAAAAGAAAAGAAAAGAAAAGAAAAAAGGGGGGTGGGGGAGGCACTACCACAAGTGAAGAACAAGCATGAGCCCAGACCATTTAATGTCAGACCCTTTTTTATACGGGACACACACACACACACATGACACCACGATGACAACGATGACCCCCAACTATTAGTTCTATTTGTTATTAAGGCTTAATGACACGGGTGGGTATCAATCTGGTAGGAAAAAAAATCTACAACTCAATTAGTCCTATTAGAAATTATGTCTTTATGTGACATGAGTGGATATCTGACATTCAAGGGAAAATTCACAAGTCACCAACTCATTTGAGAGTCCACCAAATAATAATGTGCTGGTATAACTCTGAGTGACCAAAATAACACAGTCTGGACTTGCTTGAGGTTCCCTGGTTTTAGCAGTCATCTGTCAATAGATCTCAAACAATGGAGTTGTGAAATGGAGCCATTTAAGTTATCATGATAAGGCTTTTTCACGATTGTGTCAAGTTTTTTTGGCCTTGGTGTGCACCATCTGAAATATTTTAGAAATACACATTGATTTCCTGTTTTGAATAAATATGAAGAAAACAAATCTCCCCTGCTCCTGAGGCCTGCAGCCAACAAAGTCCATGATTCAGAGTAAGACAGAGACTCCACAGTTGGCAAAGGCTCTTTGGTAAGTGGTTGTTGTCACCTACAGACCTGGACAAAATCTTTCTGCCCTTGCTAAACCCAAACCACCATTAAACATTAATAGGAAGCTGATCTGAATCAGACCAGCACGCTTTGACCTGCTGTTGATGCTTATTTCAGGTTTTCAGCACTCTCTTGAAGGTTTCTCATGTGCTAAAATAATGTCTTTAAAAATCTAACCTTTCTTTTTAATATATGCATAGCTGAAAGACAGTAGTACCCATGCACAGATTTTTTGTCTGCCTGACTTTCTGTCCTCTGAGAAGACATCTAATAGCAGGTTTCTCCGGGGCCTAATACCAGTTACCGTTGTCCACTAAGCTGAGTGGTAAACCCTCCATTTATCCGATATGACCAGGGGAAGGTCCTTTTTCAGTGAAAGCAATTAGGAGCCCTAAGTTATTATTTCCTATTATTGTGCAATAAAAGAGGCTCTGGACGATTCAGTGTGCAGGATTAAAGTGTCCAGGACTGCAAACATCGTGCGGCTGCTCTCCTCCTCCCCTGCCTCCGCACACCGCGGAAGCACTCGAGGGTCCCTCGCCGAATGCGACCCAGCGGCCCCACGCATGTCCCGGACGCGGAGGTGGACTCGCCCTGTCCCTCTCGTGGGCAGCCTCTGCGGACCAAGGGGTGACCTTGGCCGCTGCCTTTGGGAGGGGGGCCCACCCGCAGCTGCCCCCCGGCCCGCATCAGCCCGGGCATCCTGCGCCCCGCGGGCCGGGCAGCCGCGCTCTGCAGGGAGTCAAAGTACGTAGGCGGCCGGGTCGATACCCTGTTAGGCTGGAAACTGTTCTGCATCTCAAAGGCCGACGAACCTAATGACTAAAAATATAAGTACCTGACCCGGAGGATTAATCACACACTGTCAAGCAGAAATTGGTGCAATTCTTCCAATCATTAACGTTTTGCTTACAAAAATGTGCTTTTCTGTTTGTTTTTCTGCTAAATGATAACCATTTTCAAGTTGAATCGGCTGATAAAAAAGTCGAAAACAAGACGGGAGTTGTGCTGGAAAGGTCATACGTGCTAGTTCGGCATGAAATAGCCAACAGGCAAACAAATAGGGAAAAGCAGCGTAGCACGGAAGGGGCTCGAAGATTTTCCCCAACGGTGTAAAGTGCTTTGGCTGTTTTTCTCCTGCCGAGGAGAGGAGAGGCTTCCCGGGGCGAGCTGCTCGCCCGCGCCGCTGTGGGCATCCCCACGCGGGTCTCCCCCGCTGTGGAAACGGGCTTTGGGGGTTATGGACAGCTGCTGGGGGGTATTTCTGACCAGCAGCTCAACCCGCACCGCCGCTGTGCTTTGCCTACGCGCTGCGAGGAGGTGACCCCCCCTCCGCGCGTGGGGGGGCAGGGGCATTTCCACAGCCGAGTCTGGGTGACGGAGTTGTCACCTCTCCCGACACCCTGGAAATCCACATTCCCGGCCCGGCGGCTGCCGCCGATGCATCTGCGCTCCCCACCTGCGGGAAAGCCGCCCAAAGCCCCAGCCACCGCTGGGAAAGCGCCCGGCTTTAACGAGCCGGCTTTCGCCTGGGTTAAACGAGCCCGGCTTTCGCCTGGGTTAAACGAGCCCGGCTTTCGCCTGGGTTAAACCAGCCCGGCTTTGCGGGACCACGTTACACCCGCGCTGTGCCCG